CTGGTCTGGCTGGATCACAGCCAGCAACTGTCTCAGGTGAGAGTACTCCCACAGCTCCCTGGCTGGGTCACAAAAAAGGAAAATAATCACCAGAAAAGCTTGATCAAGTATTGACTAAAAGAAACTGGAAAAGGAAATATCATCCATGAACGTTCCCCTATCTGCAAGGTTCAAGTTCACGTGGGCACACATATGTCACCCTGTGCCTGGTTGAGGCCCCAAGGGCTGTGGCTCCTGTGTGCTGGGTCTCAGAGATGCAACCCTGGTCCAGAGAGGGACGCCCCCTCCCCTGGGGTCCTCTGGATGTGGTACTGCGCTGGGGTTCCTACTGCTCAGGCAGAGGCCCCACAAAGGCAGGAGACCCAATGTGTCTATTCCCAGGTCTCTGCCCTGCTGATTCTTCAACAGCCAGATCGGGGCACCACAAGACGTTTGCTTTCTTTACTGTAAGTATATAAACAGAAGAAGTATGTTATTTACAGAGGAATGGAAAAGAGTTCAACTCACAGCGAACACACTTGTCCCGGGTGCTAAGTTCAACGGGTGCATCTGTGTACAGGGTCCTGGAGGTTCATCATCAGGGGCTGGCACGGGGGTACAGCGAGGGAAGCCCCATGGGGTGGTGAGGCCGTGGTGACCATCACCAGTTGGTACCAACTGAAGGTGTCAGGCTGGAGGTGCTGTCTGGATCTTGTCCTGGCTTCACACTCAGGAGGTCTGGCTGCTTAAATCTGGGAGCTGCAGACAGTGCATATCGGGGCAGTAGAAGCTGTGGGCAGAGGCCCTGGAAAGAGGCTGCCTGAGCAGGGGGCGGATCCCCTTACACCACCAGGAGGTTGAGGCGCTGGACACTCTGCGCTCCACTTACCGCCTTCTGGGGCTAGGGTCCATGTCGCCTGCAGTATCTGTGCAGAAGTCCGCAGGGGCTGCAATGCAGTTGCAGACTGAAATGGTGGTCGTCCAAAAAGAGCGCACCCAGTGCGGAATACAGAGGCCGTGGCCTGGGCCCAGAGTCCACTGAGCTCAAGTTCAGGGGTGCTTTCTCGGGGCTTTATCTACTTTCAGCACACATCTCCCATCCCAACCCAGCGATCCCTCCAACCATCATTGACAAATCTTTGACAAAGGAGCAAGAAATGTGAAGTGGAACAAGTGGAACAAGGAAAGCCTCTTCAACAAGTGGTGCAGGGAAAACTGGATAGCTACCTGCAGAAAAATTAACTCTGACCTCTGTCTAATCCCAGGCACAAACGCCAGATCAAAGTGGATTAAAGGAAATGTATTTCTGACTGGGATCACATTGGCTCCAGAGGCCACAAAGAATCACACCCCAGAAGAAGAGCAGTGTGTAACCTGCTTTTCAGACCTGACGGGTCTCTGTGCAGGCCAAGGTGAGGAAAGACAACACTAAACTAGGCCAGGCCATAGGTCCTGTTCTTGAAAGAGTCCTGGACACATGATCCTGTTAGGAAAACACATTACTCAAAGCATAGGGATTCAACTTAATTAAATTCACTGATCTCCTTACCAGCTAATCTGTCAAATATTTACAGGAACACACAATGAAATCAGTAGTTTCAGGGAGTCAGCTCTGAAACTTGAGCTTTGAGCAAACACGCACGCAAACACACACACACACACACACACACACACACACACACACACACACACGGGACATGGGGGGGGTGGGGGGAGTCACACCCAGCATTGCTCAAGGGTTTACTCCTGGTTCTGCACTCAGGAATTACTCCTGGTGGTACTCAGGGAACCATATGGGATGCTGGGGATTGAACCTGGGTCAGCTGCATACAAGGTAAATGCCCTACCTTCTGTACTATCACTCTGGCCCTAGAATCTTGAGCATATTGTCACTGTCCTCCCGTTGTTCATTGATTTGCTTGAGCGGGCCCAGTAATGTCTCCATTGTGAGACTTGTTACTGTCTTTGGCATATCGAATACATCACGGGTAGCTTGCCAGGCTTTGCCTTGCGGGCGAGATACTCTCTGTAGCTTGCCAGGCTCTCTGAGAGGGGCGGAGGAATCGAACTTGGGTCGGCCGTGTTGGCTACGTGCAAGGCAAACGCCCTACCTGCTATAGCACAGCGCTGCTGCTGTGCTACCACTGTGCTATACTGGATAGGGCATTTGGCTTGCACGCAGCCAACCTGGTCTACAAAGGTTCGAGCATATTAGATTGCTAAATAACTAGAACAGAGTTCTAACCTGAGCATGCATGCAGATAATACCCTCACTTCAAGGAATCAACAGAAAGGGAAATTTACATTACAGTGAAAGAATGTAACTTCCAACTCACTTGTGTGGAGGACCCTAACAAGCCCAATATTCATGCACTGCCATGTGGCCCACAAACAAGTGATTTATTCCCCACCTATCAAGACAGTGCATAGAACATTCACTGTCAGGCAAGAGGAATTAGAAGTTCAATGTCTCTAACTTCGGGTCTGGTGGAGAAAATTTTTACATAAAAATTACAGTTCAGAGAAGCAAAGGCTAGTCAGGAAAACATGAATTTTATTTCACCAACCAAGACCAGAAGTAATTTCTCTCTGATTCCAAGTGAATTCCAGTTGTGTTCCCAGTACTAGTAGGTAAGAGTTTCCCTTCCAAATAACAGATGCCATTACTGTGGCACTGTTCTCCTGTTGTCCATTGATTTGCTTGAGCGTGCCCAGTAACATCTCCATTGTGAGACTTGTTGTTACTGTGTTTGGCATGTCGAATACGTCACAGGTAGCTTGCCAGGCTTTGCCATGCGGGCGAGATACTCTCGGTTGCTTGCTGGGCTCTCCAAGAGGGGCAGAGGAATAGAACCCAGACCAGTCAGCCATTACTACAACAAAATATTAAAGCAACTAAAGATGTAAACAGTCACTTCCCCTTTGGTTATATGCACAAAATGCTTGCCATATCTGTAAAATCAAACTGGAAGCAACAACCTAACTCTTAACTCTCTTATACAGATTTAAAATGCTCCTTCGGTATTAAGTGAGGGTAGGCCAGCTGAAAAGACACTAATATAGATCATTTCTAACTCTGGGGAAGTTAACTGTCTTACACTTTCTTTTATGTGAAATGGACAGGAGTACTTGATTCCAAATTTTTAATATCTAGGTCATGTAAAGTGCTCAATGATACCACAGACCACGTATTAACGAATACTTTTACTCTTGATAAAAACAAAAAGGTGTATTAAGGCCTCAAAGAGTATAAAGTGCTTTGTCTTGCATGACCACACTTATACAGCCTCCAGTACCACCAGCAGTGACTCTTGGTAGCCTTTGAGCATCACTGCCAGCCTGCCCCCGACCCCCCAAACCTATTATTTTCTGAGTCAAGATTCCTCAAAAGGTTAAAGTACTCATAAAGGAGTTAAGTAATTCATTTCAAAGTCACATTCCCGATCCTAAAACAGCAATTTGAGACACAATTGGGAGTAACCATACTTCCTGAGCATAAGCAAGAAGTTAAATTAGATTTTACTTAAGTGTTATCTTTTTTCCAGAGCAGCTTTAGAGCATATTTGGTTGCCCAATAAACCTTTCCACATTTTTTAGCAAGATTAAATTTAAATAGTAAAGACAAAAGACCCAATTAATTAGGACATGACTCAAAGTTTGCTTTAAATAATTTGGGGGATTGGTGGGGGGGGGGGTCGGGGAGGTCAAACGACATGACACTGAAGAGAACCATTTTCTATAGTCCAGGAGTCTCTTTATTTTTAAACAAACACCTCTCATGCCATGAATTCATAGGGAATGGGCTCCAGCATCTCGGGCTCCTTTCCATTAGTTCTTACGAAGTGTGCTTCTCTGGGTGGAGCAGGCTAGAAGAGGGGGAAAAAAGGTGACTGTAAAACACTAATTTAAACCACAAAGTACTCTAAGAACCAGAAAAATGAAAGATTTAATTTCACGTAAAAGAAAATTACATTAATATAGATCAGATTCAAAGTACTCAACTGGCGCTTCAGTTGAACCCAAGTCTCTTTCTCTTTGGCTTCCTTCTTTTTCTGATCATTTTCCTTTACCCGTTTCAAGAAGCTGTCTGGACTCTTAGAGTGCTTAATATGCTCAATACGAACATTAATTCTCTTGGCAAGAATCTTGCCCCTGGAAAGAAGATGAACTCTTATAAATGCCTCACCAAAAACATAACTCAGAAGGAACAAATCTGCAGGTAAAACCTCCAGTGTGAAAAAAAAATGTGATTTTGTTTTGCATGGGGATGGGGCAGATCAACTGGATTTAAGGTTTAACTGGATTTAAGATTTAACTGAATTTAGCATAGCATTCTGCAACCTTTCTATACTTGTGGACTGGTTTCTGACTTAGACCAGCAAAATTCAGAAAACTTTTTTGGCAGTTTCACAAGTAATCATAAAGTTTTTACCCATAAAACAGAATAAGGTGATAGCAAATTTGCAACCATGATCAATCTTACTGCGAGAATTAGTGTTTGGACAAACAGCCCCACTTTTAAGCTCTTTCTTATGATAACGGACCTTGAAACTAAAACCAGGTTGCTGTATTAACTTACTAAACCTTTCACTCTGGCAACAGAACCACCTTAAATCAATCCCATGACGTTCCACTACTTTGATCCTTCAAGTTGTCTCCTCTGACTGGATACAAGACAAACACCCAGTTTGCTTGAGTTTTAAAAGGACACTTCCATTGCTCCACTTGAATGACCAATTAAGACATAAGTCCAATTGGCAAAGTGAGAAGGGGGCATAAGGGAATACTAGTTAGCCCGCCCAATCAATATTACTTACTTGACTTGTTTGTTAACGACAATGCCAACAGCATGCTGGGTAACATTGTAGATTCTTCCAGTTTTGTCATGGTAACATTTGTGGGGCATTCCTTTTTGGACAGTGCCCATTCCCTATAAACAAAGGAGGCAAACGTCATGCCATCTATTTCCCTTTCTTATCAAGGCTATTCAAGGAACTTTTTCTTTTTAATGGCAGCTCAAGAGCTTTCAGAGTCGGTGACGTGTGTTGCTTCAAAAAGCAATCAAAAAGACAATCATCATTAAACTCTACAGCACCATAATGTATTTAAAAATTAGTCACAAAGTTTTAACTATTTTTAATAGCCATCTGTAGCATAACATTGGTTTGCCCTTCCTCCCTGGCCACTAGGAGCTTGTGTTTGTTGATTGCCCCCAGTCTGTCAATTATCTTTGTCTCCTGATCAGACTCTGATTTGTAAATATTGTCTTTCTCTTCTCCTTATGTCCTTTGCATGCTTATTTATTTCAGAGCAGTTGCTTTTTGTATGGATACAGGAAGATAGTTAAAAAGACAAGCTTGTGGCTTGGGAGTTGACTGACTCCAGATAATTGACTTCCAGACATCTGCTCGCTCGACTTGAGCCTCAGTTGCCCTTACTTCCTAGATCCCCAAAAGCAGGGTCCAGACGATGACCCAGGGAAAGCGGTGAGCTATAAGCTACCCTGGCATTGAAATGGGCCTGGTCAAAGTGTCCTAACTATAAGTTAAGAGTTTGGTCATGGGAGAGATGCTGCCGCCACTGCTACGGCCCTGGGTCGCCAGCGACATTAGAAGGGGAGGGCCCCACAGGAACTGAGAGCTCACGCCCATCGGGGCCCTGCGTCGGCCCGCCCGAAGAAATGAGTGGTGGATTGGCCTCAAGTAAGAGCACCGTGTATGTATCCAATTTGCCTTTTTCCCTGACCAACAATGACTTATACTGGATATTCTCCAAGTATGGCAAAGTTGTAAAGGTTACTAGAATGAAAGATAAAGATACCAGGAAGAGTAAAGGGGTAGCATTTATTTTGTTTTTGGATAAAGACTCTGCACAGAATTGTACCAGGTCAATAAATAACAAACAAAGTTATTTGGTAGAGTAATAAAAGCAGGTATTGCTATTGACAATGGAAGGGCAGCTGAGTTTATCCGAAGACGAAACTACTTTGATAAATCTAAGTGTTATGAATGTGGGGAAAGTGGGCACTTGAGTTATGCCTGTCCCAGAAATATGCTTGGAGAACGTGAACCTCCAAAGAAAAAAGAAAAAAAGAAGAAAATTCCTGAACCAGAAGAAGAAATTGAAGAAGTAGAAGAGAGTGAAGATGAAGGTGAAGATCCTTCTCTTGACAGTCTTAGTCAGGCCACTGCTTTCCAGCAAGCCAAAATTGAAGAACAACAAAATAAATAGAAACCCAACTCAGGAGGTCCCTCAACACCAGATGATTCAAGATGCCCAAGAATAAAGAAAAGCACGTATTTCAGTGATGAGGAAGAACTTAGTGATTAACATTTATTATGTAAATATCATTAATTTTTAAAAATATTGATGGTACCAGTTTATTTGGGCTAATAATGATTATTTTCAGTATTCAAGCATAAGAAAACTTAGTATCAAATATTTTTGTTCTATAATAGTTCATTGAAATTGAAAAATAATTATAAAGTCATTTTCTGTCTTACCAGAATAAAATTTTAAAATCAAGATATTATAATAACCATTTACCTTGAAATTAGTTCATTTGAATAAGAAAATACTGTCATAGTAATTTTACTGTCATCCCAAATAAAAGGATAGATACTAGGAATAATTTTCTGAGACGTTTATAAAATTTTATTCACATCCAAATAGTTTACATGAGAACTTTTTTTTTGCTTTTTTTTTGGGCGGGGGATCACACCCAGCGATGCTCAGGGGTTACTTCTGGCTCATGCACTCAGGAATCACTCCTGGCGGTGCTCTGGGGACCATATGGGATGCTGGGAATGGAACCTGTGTCAGCCATGTTGGCTGCGTGCAGGGCAAACCCCCTACCCACTGTGCTATCGCTCTAGCCCCTACATGAGGACTTTTGAAATAAATATTTTAACAAGAAGTGCTCTTTAAAACAAGCAATTCTTCAGGCCAGAGAATTAGTACAGCAATTAAGGATTAACTGTACTTAATTGTCAATTCATTCCACAGAATCACCAAGAGTGACCCTTGAACACTGACAGGAGTAAAGCCTCAGTTATGCCCCAAAACAAAAATTAAAAGCAAACGCTTTTAAAAATTGTGAAAAAGTTAAAGAATTTATTTTTATTCAATGATAATAAAATTTTAAAGGACACTTAAAAAAAAGAGTTTGGTCATGGACAAATTCTGTCATGATCCAAAAGTAGTAACTAGATTTGGACCCTGCTGGAGTTAGGAATGATTGATCCGGCCTGAGCACTGTAGTCTGAGTCTGTGGTAAGATGGCCCCAGGAGAGTCACCCTACAAACCTAAAAGTGTCTATTACTGTCCATACAGCAACCTGGGCTGTTCTTACACCATGAGCCTCTGACAAATCAGTGAAATGTGCCCAGTTAAGACACTGACAAAAGTAGCAATAAAATCGAACAATTTCGACCAAAATATCGCCTGCTACCGCCGACTAGGTACTTGAAACCAAAAGTAGTTATTTTTTTTTATAAAAGGCATGTGTGTGTGTGCCCGGGGGGGGGGGGGGGGGGGGGGGGAGGGGAAGGGGACGCTCACAGGGCTTCAAAGGCAAAGTGAATATGTAGATTCCAACACAAAAGATGTGGCTGAGGGTGTCTGGATGCAATCTAGTAGCTGATCTATACCAACGAAAACGCTGAACCAAGCACTCCGCAGCTGTCTCCTGGCCTTCATAGAAATGACCAGCAACCCACTGCGGGGGGGACCACCGTGGCCCGAGCTCATCCCCAGCCGGGATCAGTGGCTCCTATTTTGTATTTATTTAGCAAGCGAGATTCACTGTCTCCCATTGGGCACTCACCCCTCACCCATGACTCCACAGCAGCTTCCCAGCAGGCAGCCTCACGGGGACTGCTCTGTTTGCTCAGGGAGTCTCAGTCTAAGAAGAAGTTCCTGATAAAGCAAGATACAGGGATGGAGGGTGCTTGAGGGCAGGAGAGGTTGGTGTCTTTGAAGGAGGGAATGGTCGAGTCATATCCCAATAGTGGACAACCAGACCTCGTATCCCACCCTCTTTGGGCACATCTGGAGACCCTTGTGCCTGTAGCCCATCTGGGAATGCAGTTCCCCAAGTGATTCCCAGCCATAGTCACAAATTGGGCCTAGTTCCTCGGGTGTCATGGTCTTATTTTGGGGGAAGGACAGTTCCCATGTGCTGTGGAAATTAGTGAAATGCATCTAGAGCAGAATGAGGAGAGATGAGGAGGACACTGGGGTCCTGGACACTCGGATGCACAGTTGCCTATATTGCAGGCTGAAGAGAGGGAGGAAGTTGTGACCAGACAGGGGGCTGAGTTTTGGGGGCTGTGGGGGACACCAGTAGCCCTTGGCTCATGCACAGACTCTGCCTCCCTGAGACTGACATCCTGTCCCAAAACTCAGTGACATTTGCTTTTGCAGAGGAGAGGAAGCCAGAGAGGGGAGAGGTTTCCCAGGCCTGTGGGAGGGAAGACGCTTCTTTGGAGTTAGGGACCTGGGGTCTGGTCAGCCCAGACAGCGGAGACATAGAAAGTCTAGTTCAATTGAATCCTCAGAGTTGGGACCCATATTCTGTTTCCAGATAGTCCGGAAAACCTCTCAACTCCCTGGTTCAGAAAGTGGGTGCCACAACAGGGGAGGGTATTTGGTTGGATGGAAGGAATACATGAGCTCATAGAACCCTGGAAAATGACCTCACTTCCCTATTGATCATCCCCAACTGCCTTAGAACCCTGGTTCCCTGGTGGGTTCATTCTTGAGAAAGTGACCGTCTAGTTCACTTGAACTGAGAAGCAATAGACATGTTTTCATGTTGTCTTCCTGTGTTCAGGGGCTCTGGACTGAGGCGAGCCCAGAGTGAGGGTCATCGCTGTCCCTGCAGATTGTGCAGGAGGGCTCCTCCCCACCCACAACCCTTCTCTCAGGTAAGGAGAAGCTCAAGGGTAATACTGGGCCAACAGGTTCAATAGTTCACAGTTGTGATGTTGTGATGCACCTCAGTGGACTCACACCCCTGTTCCTGCATGTGTGTCTGTGTGTGAGTATGTATGTCTGTGTATGTGCATATGTGTGTGAGTTAAATCTGATTGTGTAAGTATGGGCTGTGGGCTATGGGCCAAGGAGTCTGAGGAGAGTGAAGTTGTGTTCTTATGGGAAGGAGCAGCTTCCTTGTGATGGAAGGTTGTTTGTGTCATGAACTCTTCTTGACAAAACAGTTTTAAAAGTATTGAATCCCGGTGAGATACTCAGTTTCAAAGTTGTTCTTGATTGAGTTTCAGTCATACACATTCCAACACCTGTCCCTTCACCAGTGTATATTTCCCACCACCAATGTTCTTAGCTTCCTAGCCACCACCCTCACCTCTATGGCACACAATATTCTTCTGACTTTCTCTCTCTGTCTCTCTGACTCTCTCTCCCCTCTATTTTTGTCTCTATCTGTTTCTGTCTGTCTCCCTTTCTCTCTTGTATCTCCTGCATCCTTTCAACCATTATAGTTTTCAATACAGGTTATCATGTTAATTCCGTTCCCTACTTTCTTATTCACAGTTCTTATTCACAGTCATCATTTCCAAATACTTTGTCATATGGTCCTTTATCGATCCTACTGCCCTCACCTTCTACCACCAATCTTGTGAACCAGTCATACTGATCCATGTTTCTACTGTACTTGGAAACTAATTTCATATTATTTATATACCAAAATGAGTGCAGTCATTGTTTGCCAGTCCCTCTACCGCTAACTCAATTCACTCAGCACCATACTCTTCATGTTCATCTATTTCTGAGCAGATTTCATAACCTCTTTCTCCTGATGGCTGTGTAGTATTCTGTTGTATAGACGTACCATAATGTTCGTATTCAGTCCTGCGTTCTTGACACTCAGACTGTTTCCAGATTAAGGCTATTGTGAACAGTGCTGCAATGTACATAGAAGTACCATTGATATTTCAGCTGTGTGGTTTTAAGTCTGGGGTTATTTCCCCAAAGTGACATTGCTGGATCACATGGAAACTCAATTTCTAGTTTTTGGGGGAATGGCCATATTCCAAAAAGGCTGTGTCAGTCGGCCTTCCCCCCCA